GAAGTTTTTTAAATCTGATAAGTAATAAAAAGTTTTCTATTTTATTGTAAATCATATCTAGTATTGGTTTAGCAGAGTCTTTACCATTATAGTAGATACAAAGATATCTAATTATATTAGTAGATTTTCTGGGATTGATTATTTGATTATTGAATTGGAGTAGATAGTTTGGTATTTTGGAGTTTTTAAAGGAGTTATAAAGTAGGTCAGATTTGAATAGATTGACTTTAATATTATTGATTTTGTATAAAGAAGAGGTTTCATTAATAATTTTTTGCAGAGTTTTAGAATGATCTGAGTGCTAGACAGTATTATCCATATAGGCTAATAGTGGGATAGTTGTAATAGTTAGATTTGAATTAGTGATATAGCCAAGTAGTGAGATAGAAAAGATTTTGAGAAAGTGATCTTTGAATTTTTGTGAGATAAAGATAAGGATTGGGTCATAATAGATTTTTCAAAGAAGAGATGAGTAGGTTTTTTCTTGTTCTATACCTGATTTTATATAAACTAGTGATGTTAGACCATAAGCTATAATTACTCTTGCAAGGCAAGAAGTATGAAGTTCTGTTATTAGATTTATACTAGCAACAAGAATGCTAATTCTTCAGAAAGCTTCTTGTAGACGTCTAATATTAATTTTGTCAAAAGCTTTACTTACATATGTCTTGAAACAATATCCAAGCTTCTTTATTGTAAGAAATATAATGTTCTATTGTATTATGTAGAATTTAAATAAGAGTATGTGTTGAAGCATTTTTGGAAGCTGCATAATTAAGATTAAAGAGAAGGTTATTTGATGAGATAATTTTATATAGATGTTTTATAAAGATTTTTGTAAAGATCTTTTTTAGGGATTCAATGATAGAGATAGGACAGACTTGGTTAAGAGTAAAATCTTAGTTAACCTTTTTGGGAATAATAAAAATATTAGAAGATTTCTAATCAGCAGAAACTTTTTGGAGTTGAAAGTATTTGTTTAGAAAAGATTGAAGGATTTTTTGTGTTTTTGGGCTAGCATGTTTAATATGTTCATAGCAGGTTTTAGAAGGACCTACTGCTTTTTGGTTGAGTAGATTTGAGATGATTTCAGACCATTTCTAGGTTGAGATATTATTAAATAGATTTTGGTAAAGTGGTTCTAATTTGGGGTAAGATTGGTATAAGTGATAGTATTCTGAAGAGGGTGAGATAGTGCTTAGAGATTTATTATCAAAGTAGTTAAAGAAGTAATTGTGAATTGCATTAAATACTAATCTGTGAGTGATCAACATAAATTGTATAGTTAGCAATTAATAAAATCAGTGATAATAGTAGTATAAAACTTTACATAACATGTTTGAATCTGCTACTGTTAATTTCAATAAACAAAATGCTCAATATTACTTTTGAAACACTAGGTTTAGTTACTTTAGACCTTCACTACAGTTCATACTCATATTATTGGTAAATTTACTCAGCTAAAAACAACATTGTTAGCTTTCTAATTCATCTAGATCAATGAACCAAAGTTTCTCTTAAGGGCGTGATTTTATTCTAACTGTTCAAATGGGTATCAAAATTAGAATGTTAATGCCAGAATATCATTATAAAAGTGAACAATTTAAAACTACTGAAAATAATCCAACAAATGCAATTTCAACAATTTATGCACTAATATTCAATACGAAAACATGTTACTTTGGCTATCAAGTTATGGGCTAAACTGATGATAGTATTCTAAAAACTATAAATAAAGAAATATTTTTTCTAAGAGTTTGTTCACTTGATCAACATGAAATATTCGTATATAATATAGGCATTTCTTCACAAAAAGAATAGGAATATACTAGAGCAGGTTTTTAATCCTTAATCAATTATACATTTCAAAGAAGATAAGAAATTTTTGTTTCACGAATTGAGGATAATAAGTGCATATTAGAAATATATCAAGATTCAAAATTACAAAAACAGTTTGTTGGTACGAACCCAAATGAAGTTTGGAAGCTTTCTGGTCAATTACAAAAATTCAGAGGAACACAACTTTTTAGATTAAAAAACTATAATATTCAAACACTTATTTGCCAAATGCATATTCCAGTATGTCAAGTAAAAGACTGGGGTGATATAGCAATAATGATACCAATATACAATTATCATATCAAGTACCATACCCTAGCAAATATTGAATAGTATCAATTTTTTATTATCTAGATAAAATTGGATATTACAATTATTGAGTTGGAACTTACCTTAAAGGTTATATATCTTCAGGGTTATGAATTTTGAGATCGTGAATATCAAGCATGGCAAACAATGCTTTGCTATTGTGGATACACGAATGTTACCCCATGGTCACATCAGGAATCAAAGGTTATTACAAATAAAAAATATATATATCTATTATAAATATTGCTAATATATAATTAATTTTTTTATTAGGTTCAATTTTGGACTAAATCCAACAATCCAAATAATGATAAAGAATTATTAGCAAATTTGCACAAGATTAGATATCTCACAAGTATACCAAGTCACATACCCAATACCTCTAAAACATTTTGGTTGTACTTTATTTGTATTCTTGCTGATAATGAAAAATATTTAGATGGCAAGCAACACATCTTATCGATTATTGCTAATGATTTCTCTTATGCAGAATTGCAAGTTAAATTAGAAGTAAGATTTTTTTTACTATTGAAATTGCATTTATATACTTATTGTAATTTCTGTTGTATAATTACTATAAAGGTAGGAAGTTATACAATATCTAATGCTTGAAAATATGCTCAACTAAATGGATATGGTGCTCTACCATTACAAAGCTAATTATTACATAAGAAAGGCTGACATCTGAAATGAAAAATCAAATTGAACAATTTTTGAACAACAAAGAAATAGTCAATATAAGTTCATATAAAACTGATACAAAAATACAAAAACCTGTTATATATCTTCAAGATACCAAAATGACACTATGTGAGCAATTTTCAGAAATGTATTCAAATAGAATGAAGCATATTTTATTTATGAGTCAATTGCAAGGAGGTAGATACTGATATCAAGAAGATTTAAGCAGCTTGTGCAATACTTGCAATAATTATGAGTATCTAGTATTTGGAGATATGAAATTGTTAGTTTTGTCATATATAACAGATGAGAATTTCTGAGTAAAATTATTTATTATAAGGATGTTATTATAATCAAATATTGGTTTTAATATATATTTTGTATAATAGAAACTTTTATTAGAAAAAATGGAAAGTTTGAGAAGATATATATGTTGAGAATTTTCTAAAAAATTGAATATTGCTGCAAATGGAATTGCATTTCACAACTCCTGTATTGGTTATTGTGTTCTTTTTGCTTTTGGTGCCTGTAACTTACCACATCCTGAAATATGTTAACAATGTGAAAATATTTTACAATTTTTTGAACAACTCAAGGTAGCATTGAATAAAGAACATAATGAAATTTTGAATAAATATAAACAAAAACTCATAGCTTGGATGAGCCAACATGCCTGTAAAACTTATCTGAATATCCATGTCAGAACTAAGCTTGCTGAACTTGACTCTGAGGGTGTGGTAATAATCATCGACTACAAAATGAAGATTTTACCCCAATCATTACATGAATCTAAAAAAGATTTTTTTGGCAAAAGGGGATGGAGCCTTTATTCAATACTTGTATATACAAAAGATTCTACCAATAATTGTTTAAATTTGCAGATATTAGATCATTGGAGTGATGATATTCACCAGGATGCCTGGTTTTCAGTATCATCTTTGCATGCAGTTTTTGAAACTATTGATCCAAAGCCTAAATGAGTTACAATTTTATCAGACAATGAAATACATTATCATTGTACAGAATTGATACTGATTATTAAACAATAGCAAAATTGGTATAACATTACTTCTTGTTGGTGGATTTTTCTTGAAGCAGGTGAAGCAAAAACTGTTATTGATTCACACCATGCACAGGTATAGTACTGCTGAATTTTTTTTTTTTTTTTTTGTACTGCAAATCCCTAGTATATTTTTACTGTTTTGTAAATTAACAGATAGGCTAACGTATTTTTGGTTTGGTTCAGATAGATTTTTTTTTTTTTTTTTTTTTTGTGATTTTAGACAAGTTCACAATTTAATTAGTTATAACAAAAAGTTATATCTAATATTTACATATAATCAGATTTCTCATACTATAAAATAATACATCAAACTTGGCTATAAACTTGAATCAGAAAATAATATAAAGGCTGCTATAAGTAATATTTCTGGTACAAGAGTTGCTAATATAATGCCAAATAGAGATTTGGTAAGAAAATATTGCATAATAAATAATTTTACATAATCTAAAAATAATTAGTAATTTATAAATTAGAGAAAAGTAAATTAGATACAATATCAGGAATATCAAATTTTCATGAATGGACCTGGCCAGTAGATAATGAAAATATTGGAAGTATTTATGCACAAGCTTTGCCAGGGATTGGAAATTAGAAAGTATGGTCTTCTACTCAAATAGAAAAAATTATGAAAAAAAGAAAACTTGAAAAACTGAATTTAATATGTACTCGCATTCATATTCACTTAAAGCATGAATGACTCCTATCGTTGATAGACAAGATATAAATAATGTTTTAAATTTTAATTTTATTTGTAAAAGGTTTTTTAACATTGTTTAATTAGAAATGTTACCTGTAGCATATGAAAATGAAAATTTAGTAAGTAATTTATTATTAAATAAAATATAAAATCAATATATTACTAACTTTTAAATATAGCTACTATTTTCAGTTAACCTAACTAATCATATAATTGATAAGAATAATATATCATTAAGGTAAAATCTAATAATCATAAGCAAAATTGATATAATGTAAAATAAAGCTTTATATATATATATATATAGTTCTCATACTTTTTTTAACAGATGGGCTTTAAAAAAAAATAAAAGAATTCGTGAACATGAATATTCAAAAAAAAATAACTACAGAAATACAACAATACTTAAAGAGACTTTTTCATATTGGCATAGCAAATCCACAACAGAAAATGACAGCTGAGCAAATGAGCATGGAATTAAAAATACTTGCACAAGAAAGCATTATTCCTTTATCTGATATACCCAAGGTTTCTAGTATTCGTAATTGGATTTCGGGCTTTTCACTATAATGAAAAGAAGTAATAGCGCTTCGCTTATTAGAAGAAAATTTATCAAAGAACCATTAGATACTTTTCTATATTCAAAAATTTTAAAATTTACATGTGCTTAGTTCTTTGCTATTGTAAATAAAATATATTACATAATGGATTTTATTTTTTTATTCTAAATATTTATTGAATTGAATTAGTTGTATTGTGTATATTTGATACAATATTTGAATTGTTATTATATATTAGCTTATCTAGCCAGTTTACTGAATACATAGTATAGATCAAAAACTATAAATTTAAAAAAAGCTAATAAATAAATGAGACTAATAGTTCTTAGAAAACTAGACATACCAACTAATAATTAACCCATTAGGCTCATTTGGGTTATAATCAAAGAAACAACTCAGATTATATAGATAGGCATTTTGTTGACATAGACTATATTATTACTTTCAAAATTCTAGACAGGTTTAGATATTCAAAATGTATAGCACAAACTGAAACTGCTTTTTTTTTTTGTAGAAAAACTGCTAAAAAAAGTTATTTATTACAATAAGCTAAATTAGTTGAATAATTAAAAAAGTATAAGAAAACTTCTAACTTGAAATTACTTACTAGCTAGTCGCAAAATCTGCAGCTGCTACAATAAAAACTTTTATTTTTATAATAAAATAAATTTTTTTTTTACTGATTTATGATTCTGCCCTATTTATATAATGTGTCATGTAGCTTTAAATATACATATAATATTAAAAGTATACCTGCTATTGGATCATATTTTAGGTAATGTATTAAATTTATTATATAATTAGTAAAAAGATTCAACATTTTTGATTATAAATTTTATGTCGATCACTCCCAGATTAGTACTTAACTTGTTATTGAAAGTTAAATATATTAGTATTAATATGATGGGAAGCAGTTTAGTTATCAAAGTGTTATTAGATATGTAATTTAATAGTAGAAGGGTTAGTGATAATATTATTGTCTAATTAAATATTGTTAAATTTAATAAGGTTTTTGTGTTAATTAAGAATACTATTAAATATTGAAGTTGGGTAGTCTGAAGTTTGGAACATTTTTTGTTGATAGCATTAGAAATTTGTTTGATTTCTTTGATATTTTCTACATTTTGAATATAAAAAAGTTTTTTTTATTAAGAATTAGCCTCAATAATTTATAAAGTGAGGAGTTGGTATATAAGAGATAATAAAGAAATATATAAGCTTGCAAATTAATTAAGTAATGTAATAGAGAAGTTAAGGTGAAGAAAAATAGGTAAAGAGTGTTTTAAAGCATATTTTATATGTCAAATAATATTGCTAAGTTTTTTGAAATTAGAGTGTAAGTAAGTGGCTTTTAAAAAAAAATATGTTGAAAGTTATAAACAGTAAATTTTTTATTTGGGATATGTTATAAAGCATTTGTAATAATATTAATTTGGATTTTGTACCAAGTTGTTTCAAGAGATTCTGAAGTTTGTATTAAAAAGGGTGTATAGTTAGTTTGAAGATTGGTGTAAACTTGGTTAGAGAATTCTTTCCATTTAGTATTGTTTATAACTTTGTAATTAAAAAACTCTTCTATAAGTCTAAGTTTTATATCTATATTGGGCTATGTAGTGCGTAGGAGAAGAACTAGCAAGAGATTAAAATCTTATAATCACTAAGTAAATTGCTATGTGAGTTATCTATATTAAAGAATATTAGGTAAATTATGATAGTATAGTAGGCCCAGATAAAGTCAATTTTACTGCTATATCTAGAGCTAAACCAAGTAGAGGAGGACAAGGCAGTATATAAAGCAAGGTTATATATATTATTTTAGGTAAGAGTTTTTGTTTGATAAAAGAGAGGTGAATATTGTTGTTTAAGATATTAAAGTTTTCAAGTATAATAAGAAGCAGATTAAGGGTGCTAACATCTTGTAGCTATTGAATAATAGTATTTGAGTTTGAAGTCTAATAGAGATATTTTGCTAGAAAGATATATAGAGATAATATAGAATTTAAAATTATGTTTAAAGAATAAGTTGATCAGAATAGCATAGCCAGTAGTTTTGTATATATAAGGAGTTAGAGAATTGTATATTATAATAATAGTTTCAGCTTTGGAACTATTAGTACAAGACCAAAAACAGATGTAATAAGGAGTTTTGAGAGGTTTGGAGATAAGATTGTTGTTGCTAGCAAGTTTGGTTTTAGTAAAACAAATAATATCCAGATTGTTAGATAGACAATAGTGTTTCTAGACTTGTTGTTTGAGGTTTTGATTAAAGCTTTGAATATTGTATATGCATATTGATAGATTAAGAGGTAAGTAGAAGGTGCTTGGACTAGGTATGTGATTTTAAAAGAATAAATGGATAGAAATAGATACTTTCTAAGTAAAGTATAATTATATAATCAGATAAAGAGCAAGATTCTTCAGAAAGATAGATATATACTTTGCTATAGTCATTTTTGATAGAGATAATAGTTTTATCTTGAAGATTACTTTATAGGCCATTTGTTAGTAAATGTAGAAAGAAAGAATTAAGTATTTGGGGTAATAAAATAGGTAGATAGTTTTGTGATATGAAGAAATTATTAAAGCAGGTAAAAGGCTTATAAGAGATAGAAAAAATTGTAAACAGAATCTTTTAAATATCTTCTACAATTGTGCTTGCCATATACCTAGCTCTCACAGTTCTGCAAGAATTAGAGATACTTAGATTGGATATTAAAGTACTATCATTATCTAATTCTTCTAGGTAATTTATTGCTGTTTTCAAAATAGTTAAAAATAACAAAAAAACAATTTTTGTTATTTTTAACTATTTTGAAAAACAGCAATAAATAAAAAACATTTTGTTAAGAATTTTTTATTTTTTTGCCAATACAATATATCGCACCTTATAAGATCTGATATAATGTAAAATCAAAACAATAAACTTAATTCATTAATATAGAGTTAGAAAAAGGGTTAGGGTTAAAGTAAAATGCTTTAGTAAAAAGATTCTAACCCAAAATATTGAGAGGAATTTTTTTAGTTAAAACACAAGAAATAGTTTTATAGGCAAAATTTCATGCTATAGCTGATTTTTTGAAAAAAATCATAATTGCTTCAATTTCATATTATACCTGATTTTGCATTTTAATTAGTTAATAAGAGGTGGTGATATATTGCTATGACAATAAATTATAAAATTTTTTTATCAAATTTAGTTAAATATTGTCAAGATATTTTTGTTTAAAATTTTTTAAAAAAATTATTATAGGCTATAAAAACTTAATTAATTGGTTCTTATAATCTAGCTAGATCAAATTTTATAAAATTTTAAAAAAAAATTTTTGACTATATTTACTAACTAGGTAAACTTTTTTAAATTTTTATAAAAAAAAATCTATATATAAAATTTTTTGAAATAAAATTAAAAGCTAGGTTGCCAAATTATTTTTAAAATTTTATATTAGGCTATACAAACTTAATTGCTTGGTTTTTATAATATGAAATTTTAAAATAAACCTGGCCAGCTAGCTTTTTTTAAAAAAATTATATATATAAAATTTATATAAAATTTATATAAAAAAATTTTTTTTTTAAATCCACTCAGTTATTAAAATATATAAAAATTTTTTTTTAGAAGTTTTCAAATTTTTTTTTTTTTTTTTTTTTTAATGTTAAAGGTGAGACCATGCTCTTATCTTTATAAGACTTAATGAAAACTTTTTACATAATTAAAAAAGGTTTTATAGTTTAAGACTATTGCTAAGAATAAGAACTCAGAC